TGTGCTCCGCAAATGGGAGAGGCCACGACAGTGAGAGGCCCGCATAACGCAAGAAAAAAAAAAAAAAAAAAAAAAAAAAAAAAAAACTAATTATAATGACTACTTGAAATATGCACAGCATTCTCAAAGACTAAGACACCATCCTGAAAGACAGATATTATAAAGGAGTCTATATAGTTTGTTAATTCATTACATCAAGCAGAAAACTTGCCAGTTTAAGGTAGATACTTTTGTTCTAGCTGTTATATTTTCTTACTCAAACCCTAAAAAATAAAAACATTTGCACTGCGGGACTTCCTTGGCGGTCCAGTGGTTAGGACTCAGCGCTTTCACTGCCAAGGGCCGGGGTTCGATCCCTGGTCAGGGAACTAAGATCCCACAAGCCCCGTGGCAAGCAAGCAAGAAATAAATAAATAAATAAAACATCTGCTTTGGAATGTAAGCTCTGTGATGACAGGGGTTTGTGTTTGATTCACAGCTGTAACCTCAGCATCTAGAACAGTGCCTGATGCACAAAAGAAACTCAAATACCTCAAATACACATCCAACCCAAGTCTATGCATTCTAGTAAAATGCTGGCCTTTCAATACCAATGAAATACTTCACAACCTGGGAAACCAATCACTCTAACATCTATAGCTCTTTGTCTTGAAGTATTAAACAAAAACTATTTACTTGTTTCTCAGACATCCATATTTACTTTTTCTAATTTAAATGTTTTACTCTAACATTTTTGTACCTAGTACTAGAATCCTGTTTTAAAATAAATCACGACTTCCCTGGTGGCACAGTGGTTGGGAATCTGCCTGCCAATGCAGGGGACACGGGTTCGAGCCCTGGTCGGGGAAGATCCCACATGCCGCGGAGCAACTAAGCCCGTGAGCCACAACTACTGAGCCCACATGCCGCAACTGGTGGAGCCCGTGCACCTAGAGCCCATGCTCCGCAACAGGAGAAGCCACCGCGATGAGAAGCCCACACACCACAACGAAGAGTAGCCCCCCTTCACCGCAACTACAGAAAGCCCACGCGCAGCAACGAAGACCCAACACAGCCATAAATAAATAAATAAATAATAAAATTTATTACAAAATAATAAAATAAAATACATCAACACCTCTCTATAAAGAGACCAAAAGGCCTTTCAAAATAAGCCATTATGATGCACTAAAATATAATCCAAGACAGAAAATAAGCATATGGAAAAATCCTAAACATCATATGTCTCTAGGGAATTGCAAATTACATCAACAAGATACCACTATATACCTATGAGAATGGTGAAAATCTAGAACACTGACAACACCACATGTTGATGAGGATATAGAGCAAGAGGACTTCTCATTCATTCCTGGGGGGATTGCAAATGGTACAGCCACTCAGGAAGACAGTTTGGCAGTTTCTTACAAAACTAAACTCACTCCTACCATATGATCCAACAATCACACTTACTGGTATCTACCCAAAGGGGTTGAAAACTTAAATGCACACAGATGCTTACAGCAACTGTATCCATAACTGCCAAAACTTGAAAGCAACCAAAATGTCCTCCAGTAAGTGAATGGATAATTGTGGTACATCCAGACAATGGAATATTATTCAGCAGTAACAAGAAATAAGCCATCAAGCTATGAAAAAACATAGAGGAATCTTAAGTGCATACTACTAAATGAAAGAAGCCAATCTGAAAAGATTACATACGGTTTGATTCCAACTATATGACATTTTGGAAAAAGGCAAAACTCTGGAAACAGTAAAAAAGATCAGTGGTTGCCAGGGTTTGGGAGTAAGAACAAGGGACGAATAAGTAGGGCACAGAGGATTTTTAGGGCAGTGAAACTACTCTGTATGATACTACAATGGTGGATACTCGTCATTATACATTTGTCCAAAACCAAAGAATGTACATCACCAAGAATGAACCATAATGTAAACTATGGACTCTGGGTGATTACGATATACCAATGCAGGTTCACCAATTGTAAAAAATGTACCCCTCTTGTGGGGTGTTGATAATGGGGGAGGCTAGGCATGTGTGGGGCAGGGTGTATATGGGAACTCTGTGTACCTTCCCCTCAATTTTGCTGTGAACCTAAAACTGCTCTGAAAAGATAAAGTCTATTAAAAATATATATATATATGTATTTCAACTGAAAACAAAATCCCTAAGATAACTCACTTCCATAAAAAAGTAATAGGTATAGTGGTTTATTTTTATTCCAAGGAGGAGACAAAGTAAAGTATTTTTATAGAACATTTGCTTCAGGTAAGATTTTCAACCTTCCTGGAACATTATGGTAATCTTAACTGTATGCTTATTAAAAAGAAAAAAAAATCTGTTACCATAGAAACTACCAGGGCTAGTTAATGACTCCATGACTTGGGCAGTTATACCTGTTGGGTCACTTAATTAAACTTACAGGTTCCTGTTTAACAGAGAAAGGCTAAAAACATCTACATCTGTTTAAAGAAAGGCTAAAACACTCATGGGGTAGTGCAAATCAGGATAAATGGAGTGCACATGTGTACTGGGAGTACACACACCCAGACACAGTAAAAATTAGGTGGCTGCTGGCTGCTGGCTTTGTTTGAATCTCTTCTGATTACATTTCTCTGTCCAGGATGCCTTTGATGTTCATGTTCACCTATACGAAGAATATTGGGTTACTGTACTGCGTTAAGTTAATGGGGAAGGATATATTTTGTTTTGCTGGGCTGAATACGGGAGCTTTAAAGCTCTGAGAGATTTACTACAAGCAATATTCTAGGGATGTCCCCTTTTGCCAGCATCTTTTGCAAGCAGGTTTCGACTAGACATCAAGAATATAATCTCATCCATACAATGGCACTGTGCCTTGAGTTCTTTTTAAATCTTAAACACCTCAAGGGAGCATAAGTTCTAACACCAGGAAAGCCCCCTCCCCAAGTCCTTAGAAGTCAACCAACATAATTCATATTTAATATGCCCACCATCTCTTATCACACTCCATATACTACTGACAACAAAATAAGCCTTAACAGGTGCCCAGCTGTCACTTACTTGCTGTGTGGCCTCAGTCACTCCTCTTTCAGTTGAGAAATAGCAACAGCATTTAATAAATTTATTATGCTTGGGAGTATTCTGAGGGCCTCATGTAATAGCTGTGGTTTGTGTTTTAAAATATTGACTTTTCCTCTACCTGGTCTAGCTTAACTGCTCAACAGCAGAGGCTGAACTGTCTCCATAGCAAGGACTTCTTAAGGGACAAACAGCCATGTTAAGGTCTGTGAATACTAATTATATTTTCAGAAATCTTGAATTCTGAAAAGTGAGAGATTACAGGGGGGCTAAAGTTATGCTCACAAACAGACAGAGTGTATGCATGCCCCAGAAGTATAAAATGCAGTCAAGTGATTTAAAAAAAAAGTCTACACACACAATGATATTATAAGTGAACCATAAAACCCTCAATACTCCTTTGGAACTGGATTTTAAAATACCACTCCCCACTTGAAATATACAACTGATGTTAATGTTCATACTGACTCCAGCTTTTAAGAAAAGGTTCATTTCACATTTGAGGCCTGATATTAAGAATCACCAGGCTTCCCTGGTAGTTCAGTAGTTAAAAATCCGCTTGCCAGGTTCGAGCCCTGGTCCGGGAAGATCCCACATGCCGCGCAGCAACTAAGCCCGTGCGACACAACTACTGAGCCTGCGCTCTAGAGCCCGTGAGCCACAACTACTAAGCCCATGCTCCACAATTACTGAAGCCTGAGTGCCTAGAGCCGATGCTCTGCAACGAAGAGTAGCCCCCGCTCACAGCAACTACAGAAAGCCCGCATGCAGCAACGAAGACCCAATGCACCCAAAAATAATTTTTTTAATAGTCATTAATTCTAAAAAAAAAGAAAACGAAAGCACAAAACAAAAACAGCATCTACTGCGCATCATCCGCCTCCTCCTTTTTCAGGTACGGAGCAGCCAAAAGGATGTAGCTATGACACAATTACTTTGCAATTCTATTTCAAGTCCAAATAATGATAAGATGGGAAACTACAACTGTCCCCCAGGGTGGACGTCTGGGATCCACCTCTAGCCCTAAATAGGGAGCTTGTCTCTGCCTTGACAGACGTCCTCTTACAGCCCTGTGTCCCTGTTCTGCAATTTGTCATTAGGCTTTCCAGTTTAATGCTAATATGCAGAAATATGTTAGTGGGCAAATATATATAGTAGATACGTATATATTACAAGTAGTATATAAAGCGGACAACATTCTCCAATCCTGCAAGCGCCCGCCCACCCACCCAGGAGAGGGAAGGGCAGGAGCCTCGAGCAGAGGTTAAACCAGACATCAGCCAAAACAAACACCACTTCCAGAACAAGGTAAACTTTGGGTCTGGGCGGCTGCAGAGCCCCAGAAACGGCCGGGGAGGGGAGAGAGTGTCCGTCAGCCTCAGGGGAGGAAGATGAGGAGCGCACCCAGCACTGCTGAGCTGCGGAGGAGGCTGGTGTCCCCTGGGGGACAAGGGCGTCGCCGCCATTCCCGACTGCGAAGCCCCTCTCCACAACCTGGCCAAGGCCTCCGGGTGCCTGTCGGCAGCCGTGTCGCCCCACCCCGCCCCCCTGTCCCCGTAGCAATGGTCCCCACAGACCCACAGGGGCAGGGGCGCGGGGACCTACCTGGTGCAGCGTCTCGGCGGGCAGCTGCGACGCCCGGAACAGGTCGGCCACGGGGCCCGAGGCTGCGGTGGCCGCGCCGGGGGCGGCCCTGGAGGCCTCAGGGGGCCCGGACACGGGGCCCCCGCCTGCGGCGCCGGCGCAGCGCGCAAAGAGCTCAGAGTAGCACTGCTGCTCGCCCTCGCTCAGCAGCAGCGGCGGTCCAGAGCCGCAGCCCCCGCTTGCTGCCGCCTCCATGGAGCCTGAAAGGGGGCCCAGCGGAGCACCGTCCCCGGTTAAGGCGCCGCCGCCTTCACCACAGCCTCCGCCGCTTCAGCCTCGGCCTTGGCCGCCGCCGCCCCGACGCCCCGCAGCTGCCGCGCGGCCGCTTCCTCCCGGCGCGCGCCGGCCCCGCCCCCGGACTTGAATGTTGTGCCTCCGCCGCGCGGCACATGGAGACAGGCGCGGCGCGGCCCAATCACGGCCTGGGATCGCACCCCAGCCCCGCCCCGCCCCGCCCCGTGCGCTCCGGACCAGGTAAGTAACTCCGCGCGCTGGCCGCTTTACGGACGGTCACCTGCTCAGCCCGCGCTGCAGAGTCTAGAGGGCAGGAGCCAGCGCTGTTCCGCGTCCACCCAGCGCGAGAGGGGCATCTTTGGCCCTTCTCCCTGGCCGGGAAGGGGAACATCTAGACCCACCTGCAGAATGGTGCTTTTCATGGGGCGGGAAAGGCTGTGGTGTTTTCTCCCTAGGACGCTGGAGCAAGTGTAGTGCCCACGACACGCCGTGCCCTTCCCAGAAAGGGACGAGGCATGGGAAATGAGGCTTCGCTTTTTCCATGACAGTACCCCTTATGTCCTGAAAAGCTGGAGGGCAGAGATCTCCATACGAACCAGGGTCCCATTGACTCGTATAGTGTTCTAGGTGGCGACGGGGTTAGGCCACTTTCTCAGGCAAGGCTCAAACCTGGAGTTGAGCCTTAAAAAGGAATAACATCGGTTAGTGTTAAATACTAGAGTAATAGGAGTGAAAAGGGCCCTGGGAAGAATTGCATATGTATATGCATTAATCCTGGCTGGGAAACACTAACCCAAGTGAAAAACATCAGTCCAGGGTTAAACACTAAACACTGGATAGATAGATAGGTAGATAGATAGATAGATAGATAGGTAGGTAGATAGATAGAGATATATCTTTCACCCCAAATAGTGTTATTTTAATTAAAAACAAAACAAAAACCATCTCAGGAAATAGCACTGATGATAACAAATATACTTTGGTATTTTGATCAACTAAAATAAGGACCAAGGACAGGAAAAGAAAAAAAGAAAAAGGAAGGTAAAGACGGGGGGGGGGGGGGGGAGGAGGG